CGGGCGGGTTTCCCCGCGCAGGAGCCTCGGTCGCCGAAGAGGCTGCGGCCCCCGAGGAGGAGGAAGCTGCAGCAGCAGCGCCTGGCGGGTTTCCCTGCGGTGACTCTCGGCTGGCGCTGCCCCTAATTGTCGGCACCCAGGCGCCCCTAGACAGAGCACCTTCATCGGACCTTTTGGAGCGTGCCGCCACAGGCGAGGCTGGCGCAGGGGCGTACCCTGAACGCTCGAAAGCCTTAGCCTTACTTGCGATAGATCCGCTGCGACTCGGCGGGCGTCTACGTACTTCTACAGGTTCCTGAGGTGGCTGTCTGGGGTTGGGTTTCTGTGCTGGAGTTGCTCTAGTCGGTGATCTCGGCGTTTTAGAGCGGGGCACCTCCATCTGCACATCTGACCCAAGCTCCTCAGAGCGTGCTGTTGTCTTCGGTCTCTCCTCCGAAAGCGACCTAGGGGCCGGCGTTTCACTCTTAGCCTTCGGTTGGAGTGGAAGTGGGGGCTTCTTCGCCTTCGCCTCTTTCATGTAGATCTTTTGGGAGTCCATCAGCATTTGGCGAGTTGCCTCGCGGGTACGTTCCTCTGCTGTCCGTCTACGTTCCTCATCTGCCGCAACTCGCTGGGCCTTCTGGTCATCGTCGTCCGTCGGTTCTGGCCGTTGGGACTGGCTGGGAACGCCGGGCGGGTTTCCTCGCATTCCAGGAAGGTTAAAGAGCGCATCCTTCTCTTCCTGGGTCATGGGCACCAGTCCCCTCGGAGCCGGAGGAGGCTTAACCTCCTCGGCCGTCGGCCTCATATGAACCGTGATCCCGAGACGACGCTTTTAACCTCTGCGATCTCGTCTTGAGTCAGCGGGATCAGCGGTGGATGACCCTCCTCATGAGGAGTACGGCCTCTGTTCGGGCTCAAACCCTGGTTGAGCCCTACAGGGCATCCCGGCCTATGCTCCTGAAACGGCTCTGCGCATGGTCCACGCGCTGCATGAAGCTGGTACAGCTTGCGTGCTGCGATGACGTTACGCAGCTGCGTTCGTACTTCTTGTATTTCACCAGTACGAATATTCGTCGCAAGCTGGTAGCCACCGCGTATGGACTTACCCTGGGCGTCTCTATAGGCAGGGTTGCCCTTGCCGAAGGCCGAATGTTCCCCTTTCCGACGCCTTGGGTCATTATAATGAAGCAATTCGCCCCCTCGCCGAAGAGCGTGTTCCTTTGGGCAAGCTTGCCTCCACTCACGAGGAAGCCGTGCCTGCGGATGGAGCTCTTCTCTGAGGCGTGGGTGAGAACGAGACCTTCCGGCATGCTCATCAGAAGAGGCTGCCGATGCAGCCTGAGCGGGGGCCAGCGGGGGCTCCTGCGGAGGCTCCTGCGCGATCCCAGGCGGATCGTCTAACAGAGGCAGGTTTCCCTGCTGGCTGGAGCCCGGCGCAATTGGCGCTTGTGCCAGTGGTGTTGGTGCGTCAGGCTCGTCGGGATCGAAGTCCACCTCTTCCTCACCAGCGACCTCCATCATGAGGATTGTGGCTTCGTCCTCGCACAGCCCGCAACCATCACCCTCTTCATCTTCTGATGTAGAATTTCCAATGACGACGGCCATCGGTGCAGCCGGGACGGGCAGGTTTCCCTGCGTAGCCGGCGTCTGAACATCGCTTGGCTGTCCCGGAGTGGGCGGCACGGTTGTCGGCTCAGGCTCGTTGCCGAGCACAGGTTGCCCAGCAATATTGCGCATGGCAGTATGATTGGGCCATAGTCCCGCCGCCTGGAGACCCCACCCTGGCGGAGGGAGAGCCTGGCCGCGCATGGAGATGGCCCTTTCAAGGGCCTCGCGCCATCTCCGTCGGGAGTACCACACGTGCCCCTGCACGTCCTCAGGGTGCACGCTGTCGATAAGAGTCAGGGCTGCCAACGCTAACTCCGAGTCGTCGCAGGCGTCAGTGTCCTGCAGCATCATGTTACCAGCTTCGATGCTTTCTTGACTCTTGGGATATGCTATGGTTAATATCTCGTGCATCCTCATGAGGGTTTGCAGTGGTGCGCGTGGTCCGTACTCGCCTGGAGCAAGCGAACCAGGGGGTATAAATGGGTCCCCTGGTACGCCCCCAACGAACGCTTGAGACTCCATTTCTATTAGTTCAGCGTGATTTCGAGGATAGGTAGGCCTGTTTCCAGGCATGAGGTCGGGTGGAGGTTGCAACTTACGATCAACCTCTGAAGGCGAGGCCTCTACAGTGACGTCCTCGTCACTGCTCTCGTAGGCCATGATGTTGCCTGGGTTCCCGAACATCCAGTCGAAGAAAGACCAAGGCTGGTTTCCCAGCGTTCCTTGATCCACGGGAGTGAGCTCGTTGAGGTAGTACGCGTACAGTCCATGGCCATACGCCTCGAGCTCGTCGACGTTGTCCATGCAGCTAACCCAAGTGTGAACTATCTGTTCCATGGCCACAAAATCCTGGAGGCTCAGGTATTCAATAAATGGTTCACTTGAGCCAAAATGGACTTCGGTCGATCTGCCCTTTCCATTTCCCTTCGCTGGACAATCTCTCACAATATGGTCGGTACTATCACACTCATGGCACTTTAGGATCTGGCCGTCTCTACCTCGCGGGTTTCCCCGCCTACCTTTGCCTTTGCCTGAGGTATCTCTACGGCCTTTGCCACGGCCTTTTCCCCCGAAAAATATCTCATCATACTGATCATCTGAGAGCTTCTGGAGGAAGGCCGCGATGCCTCGTCCATTCAACCTACGACGACCCCGTTTGCCATTAACTTTTCCTTTGAAGCTCCTCCGTATCCTCCTCCTACACGACGCACTGGTTTTCGTGTGAACCTCCTCCACCTCCGTTTTGCCTGTTGCAGTAACCAAAACAAGTGTTCAGCACGATGATTATCATTTTCCATATTCATGATATCTGACCAATCTAAAGCTTCAACACCGTCTGATGATACAGTATCTGTGTCGGTGCCGGAGTCGAAATCGTCGTCTCCCAGGTAGGTGGACACACCGTCGGTTAGGGGGTTTGATTCACCCCACAGGGAACGGTGTGGTTGAGGCTCTCTGGAAGGAGGGCTGGTTGCCCAGCTTGGTTGTGATCGATCCCCTGCTAGTAGAGCAGTGGATTCTCCAGGGTCGTCGGCCCAGATGCTTGAGGGCCCGTTTCCAGGCTGGGCTTCCGTGGTTAAGGTAGTGTAGAAGTTCCCACTACCAGATCTCCTTCCCCTTCCAAACACTGATCCTATATTGCCAGGAGACCGTTCTGATAAGTGACCTATCGAACGCATCCTTTCCAACAGCTCATCATACTGCTGTTGTGTCCGGGGCATTTGGTGATTGAGTGGCTGTAAGAGTTGCATGGCTCGCTGGCTGCCGACGCCCAAGGCGCGGAATAGGATCGTAGTTAGTAGTTGGAAGTTGGGAAGGTCAAATCCCACCGACTGTGCCTCAAGTCGGGCCATTTCGAATCGGGCAAGGGTGACATCGATTCGTTCTCCGTGAGGCACATGAAAGTCGATGAGCTGTGTGCCGGAAGTGAGCTGGCGCTCATCTTCCAGGCGCTCGAACTTCATGCTTAGGAGGAGCATGATGTAGGTCACTGGGTCGGTGTGGACCCCATCGATGTCAGCACATAGTTTATAATGCCAGGTGGTACCCTCATGGCGAGTGTCCTCGCTAGGCCACCCAGGCCGCGTTGTATGGCGGCCGCTTGGGCCTGTGGCGTCATACGTCCACCTGTGACGCTGAGCCACGCGTTGACCTCATAAACGTACTCGCGGAAAGGCACGTTGCCTTGAGGGTCCCAGTATGGGCCATGTGTTTGCCCATCGGTGCTGTTTTCTCCACGACGCATGTGTCCGATTGCTGCCCCCAGCGCGAACCATATTATGGCGAATATAACCAGTCCAAGGCTGTGAAGATATGGGTGGTTATTAGGCGCGTTGCCGCGCTGGGGTAGCGCCTTGTCAAGTCTTCGAGGCGCTTTATCTCGCGGGCCTCCCCGCCTCTGCTTCAAGTACTGCGCTTTTGGCTCGTTGCCGAGCGGTTGGTAGTAGCGCAGTGATGAAGCGTATATGGTACCAATGTTGTTGTCTAGATGTCTACCTCTCGTGTTGCTTCTTGCTCTTGGCAGGGTGGTAGTTGGTCACGAAGATCGTGCCGTGTAGCGTGAGGATAAGAAGAGCAAGAGCTGACCACAAGAGAGTGCGGCCAGCTCCGCTACCAAGTCGACAGTGACTATGGTGAGTCAAATAGCATCCGATTCCATGGGAATCGGATGGCAAATAACGTCCGGTATCGTACTGAGGCTGTTCAGTAAGAGGAATGGACGGATAAGATAGGATAAGATCGATGTAATGATCTTTCCAGCACATAGCGAACACTCGCGGTGTCCGGGCAGATAGGGCGCGCGTGCCTTGAGCCAAAGGCAACGGCGCGCAAGCTATACTCCCGATTCTGTATAACATCTCCCAAAGAGCTACCCTTAAAGTCACACGCCCCTGGCCACCCCCTCTTGGACGCCCCCGATGCCAGCCCACACCAGCGGCAGACGAAGGGGAAAACGAGCGCGGAGGCGGCGGCTGCCGAGCGGAGGGGCCTGACTCGTGACGGCGTTGCCGTGACCGATCCGGGGAACGCCCACCCATTGTACGTCCACTCGGTCTGGGGCGCCCACGACGGAAGGCAGCCGGTGGCATGCCGAAGGCCACTCGCAAGCCCTGGGTCAGTGAGCATCGACTCGGGAAGTGCGTCGGGACATGCTTCGGGAAATGCGTCGGGTAAGGCGTCGGGAACTGCGTCGGGGCGTGCCGCATCGGCGCGGGGCCGGCATCGACTCGGATCGGCCGTGCTAGGATGCCCGAGTCGGATCGGGCCGCATCGAAGCGCTGGAAAATCGAAATCGACTCGGATCGAGCCCAGCGAACTTGAAATCGAATCGGATCGATCGGATTGGAGTGGCCCCTGAATCATGACTGCATCCTCGCGAAATGCTGCCTGCCATGCAGGCGAGCCCTGTCCTCCTCGGTGGGGTCGCTCTTCTGGTTCATGGCCTCCCAGGGGCGCCGGTGCGCCCGCATGCCAGGAGCGTCCCCCGATCCTCCGATACGGTCTTACATGGATGGCCGACAGGAGGAGGATCGAGGATCGAGGAGAGTGCCGGAGAATTCAGATACGACGGAAGGTGCGCTAGAGAACGTCAGGCCGAGCACCAGCCAGCCCTTGTATTCTGGACAGCGCACGGGGTCTCATGTGCCTGCTGCACAACTCGGGTTGGAGGCGGGTTCCGCAAAAGTGACACTGCGGCACGTCATCTCCCGCAAAACACACATTGAGGATCGACGAGAGAAAGGACGAACGAGGACCGAGGTTAGCGGATGCTTTGAAAGTGTTCTCCCTTTGCTTAGGTCCCCGGAGACCCCGTCCTCCAAAGTCCTCGAAATCAAAGCGGAAGCGTTTCACTGTTGCCGACGTCCAGAGCACATTTCTCGGTCCTGAGACCGTCAAAAACAACCCAGAATGCAAAACTGATCCAAAGAACGAGGGTCAAGCATTCTGGGTGCGTCATATACAATGGAAAAAATACTCGACGTCGGCAGCCTGGGCCCATCTGCGCTCTTTCAGGAGATGAGATCTATATATATATATAGAGAGAGAGAGAGAGAAACAACGATAGAGAGAGGGAAACACATCAAGAGAAAGAGGAAAAGAGAGAGGACAAGAGGGAAGGACGGAAATATAGAAAGAAAGAGAGGAAGACAGAAAGAGAGACAGAAAGAGAGAAAGAGAGATAATGATCTATACAACATAGAAACTCATAAATACAGAGAGAGAGAGAGAGAAAACAAAACAAAAAAAAAAAAAACGAAAGAGAAAGAGGACGAGAGAGACAGAGAGAGAGAGAGGGAGACAGCAAGTAAAAAACATTGAGAGAAAGACAGGGGGAGAGACTGAGAGAAAGAGAGACAGAGAGAGACCGAGATAGACTGAAGAAGAGGGAGAGGGAAATAGAGCGAGAGAGACAGAGGGAGGAAACGAGACACGCAGAGCAGCACACACATGCCAGGAGGAGAAAACACGAGGGGGTGACATCCTGGGCCTCGCAAGCCTCGAGATGGAAGGCGGACTCTTCCCCCAGACCTCCGACGCGTCGCGACTTTCCGCAAGGGGGGCCTCGGGCGATTGTAAAACAATTGTCGACGCTGCCGTGCCGATTTCGGTGGCGGGCTGGGTTCCTGGGCGCCCGATTCTCGGGCTCCTCGCAGCACAAGGAGTTGGCAACGGTGTGCGAGGTGGCGGTGGGCGGTCAGGTTCCTGGTTTCCTGGCTCCAGGTTCTGGAGTGTTCCAGTGGGCGGCTGTTTTCCGCAGGCTCCCAGCTGAAAGAAATGACAGAGAGGAAACAAATGATAGATATACATACGTGTATATATAACCAGAGAGAGAGCAAGTAGTAGAGTAGTGTAGGGTAAAGAACAGTAGAGTAGAGTAGAGTAGAGTAGAGTAGAGTAGAGTAGAGTAGAGTAAAGGAATAAAGAAATTGGAGCGAGGTAAAGAGAGATAGAGTGAACAAACATACATAATGTACGAATTAACGAGACCTATGTTGCTTCACATCACCAATTTGGCCCCTGCTGACTTTTTTCAAAATAATATATTGGGATGAAACGCTGCCGCTGGATATATCGAGCACAATTGATCACAACACAAACGCTCCTGCGAGCCCCCGCCAAAATGGCAAGAAAAGGTAAGCTCAGATCCGCATGGCTACATTGCAACCGAACCGCTTGACCACCATCTCGACCGAACTGGCGGAATCCGACCACGCGTCCTACAAAATGCGTTCGACGAGGGATGCGCTGCACAATGCCCCGGCCACGGGCAGCGCTACCAGGGAAAGCGGGCCCTTCGATGTGTCACTTTCAACGCCCGTGAAAGTGACACCTCCCAGGGCCCACTTAAAGAGCACCAGAAAGGCTCCAAGAAGGCCCCGAGAAGGCCCCAGGGCGGCACCAAGAGGGCTCCCAGAGGGACCCAAGAGAGGCCCCAATAAGGGCCCAAGAGGGCCCTCCGCGGTGTCACTTTCAACGCCCGTGAAAATGACACCTCCCAGGGCCCACTTAGGGCCTCAGAAAAGCTCTATGAAGGCCCCGAAAGGGCCACAGAGAGCCGCCCTGGGTTCAACTCCGCGTGGCGGAGTTGGAAGCGATAACTTCAATACCCTACTGGAGGCCTCTTAGGGGCCCTAAGACGGCACTGAAGAACCCCATCGGGGCTTTTTCAAAGGCAGAGGAGGGCGCAAAAAGGGGCCTCAGTGAGCCCCGGGTCTAACTCCACCTGGCGGAATTGGAAGCGATATCGCCCGGCGCCTTCATGGAGCCGCTCGGAGCTTCCAAGACGGCTCCAGAAGGCCCCAGGAGGGCCCCAAGAGGATCGAACGACGATTCCTGGAAGTGCACCAGTGAAACCCTTGTTGACCTCCGCCTGGCGGAGTTGGAAGCGACAATTTCCAGTGCCCTCTTGGGGCCTCTGGGGGGCCCCTCAGAAAGCTTTGGGGAGCACAGAGAAGGCCTTCGCAGGGCCGCGTGAGAGCCGTACCAGGGCCGCATGTGTGCGCGGATGGGGGCGACGAGTGCTGACGCTGACGAATATGAGAATGATGAGGGCGATCAAGGCTGGCCCGAAACAAATCCTTGCGCCATTGCAGGCCGCCGATTATCGGCCACGCCGCCAGGACGACGCCAAGCAACAAAACGACACCAACCAACAAACCGACACCAACCAACAAACCAACAAATCGACACCGGCCAACAAAAGGACACCAAGCAACAAAACGACACCAAGCAACAAAACGACACCAACCAACGAAACGACACCACCCAACAAAACGGCACGAATCAACAAAACGGCACTGACCAACCAAACGACAAATCACTTCACGACACCAATGAACAACGCGAAATCCACCGACCGCCAACCAAGCATAAAATCACCCGACACAACGAAACCAACCCATAGAGCAAATAAGAAAAGATAAAAAAAAAAAAAAAATGAAGAAAAAAAAAGAAAATAATAAAAAAAAATTATAAAAGAGGAAAAAAAGACAAAAAAAACAAAAAAATTAAACAAAAAAAAAATAAAAAAAAAAAAAAAAAACAAAACAAAAATCAAAAAAAAAAATAAACCAAAAGACACAACGAAACCAACCCATAGAGCCAGACAAACCACTGGATTCGTGAGTCGGGGTAGTCATGGAAGTGAGCCGCTGCAGCCCGCGGAAGCCATTAACAATGACCAGAGCACCGCAATGCAGCAGCGTCCCCGGGCGGCGGCGGGAGTCTCGGATCTCCCGCGGGACTGGAGCGTAGCGAGTTCGTCCTGGGTCCGGTTTAGTGAAGTGAAGAATTTCGGGGTGCTTGCATGGCAAAAACCTTCACTTCACTAATCTGGGGCCCCTGGAGCCCCAGGGCGTTCCAGGTCCCCTCGCTGTCTGGGTAGTCCAGGGGGCGCAGTGGCAGCTTACCAGAGGCCTTGTTCCCTAGCCTCACTTGCTTTCACCCGTGGTGCTCGACGGCCGTCTCGGAGCTGTCTTGTGGCGGTCTGGGGCAATCCCGAAGCCTCATGGAGCCATCCCGAGGCCCCAAGGCGCCACCAATGGGGGCCCCAAGAGAGCTCCCAGAGGGCCCCGAAAGGCCTACAACAGATTGCACGTTCGCGCGAATTCTTTGTACCACTTTTGGGGGTCCCTCTTGGGGCCCTCGGGGAACGTTCCTGGGGCCCTCCGAGGACCCACTGGGGCCCCGGGAAGGCCCCAAGAACGCTCCCAGAGGGCCCCAAGAATGCTCCAAGAGGGCCCCAAGAGGACCCCCACAAGTGACAAAAACTATTTGCATGAGGGTGCAACTTACTCGGCGCCTTTTGGGGCGCTCTTGGAGCCGTGCTGGGCGCCACTCGTGGACGACATGGGCTGGGCGACGGCATGTGGACCCTGTCGCTTGGGCCATCGGGGGTGCTCCCCAATGGGGCCACGAAACGTGTGACCGTATGACGGAATGGGCTGGGCGGCGGCCTGTGGGCCCTGCCTGTGGGGCCGTCGGTGCAGCTCCCCGTGGGGCCACGGAACGTGCGAAACGTATGCCGAAATATGCTGGGCGGCGGCCTGGGAAACCTGCCGCTGGGACTTTTTTTTGGTGGAGCTGCCGATAGGGGCACGAAATGTTTGAGGGTGTCATCAATGTGGCCTGGGCGACGGCATGTGGACCTTGCCGCCGGGACCTCCGGTGAGCTCCTCATGGGGACACGAAGCGTCTGAGGGGCGTGCCGACATGGGCTGGGCGGCGAAGGACCCTGCCGATGGGGCCTTCGGTGGAGCACCTCACAAGGCCACGACACTTGCGGGGGATGTGGCGAAGCAGAGACGCGGGGGAACAAGGGGGGTGTTTTGATGATGTTGATGAGGATGGTGGTGGTATTGATGATGGAGACGACGAGAATGCTGATGATGCTGATGATGATGGTGATGGCGACGATGACGATGGACGATGACGACGGGGACACGCGGAGAGCAGGGGCAGATACGCGAAGAGGGAGGACGAGGGAGGGGGCCGGAAGGAATGACGCGGGGCGGTGTCTCTTCAAAACGAAGAACCAACACTGCAATATGGTAGGAAATATCTGGACGACCCCCCCCCGTGGCGCGGTCAATGTCCGCGACAGCATCGCTGGCACTACGAACGAAATGATCGAACTCTTCCTGCGACGTTACCCGCGGGGTGGATCAGCAGGGATGGGGGTCGAAACCGCCCCAGCGCAAAGCAAATGTACAATCCTGAGAAACCCCAGCCCACATCAACCGATCCGCAGCAAGCACGCAAGCCTTTGACGACCCCAACGCACGTGACATCGCATAACGCGACGCGCCATCGAAAACGTTCGACGCGCGGCCTCGGAATGACATCGGGCTTCATGGAACGCCGAATGGAAAACATGAAGAACCGCCCTGTGGGCTCCGAGACCCAAAATTACTGATGTGAAGGATTTCGGCTCGTCGAGAAT